AATAAATAAAGCATTACAGGTTCACTTGGAGTCAGTGAGGTATAGATTTTTAAAGATTTCTTACTGAGGTTAAGATTTTAAAATCTAGTTAAGAGAAATTTTTAAAACAACAGAAATCTCTTCAGAAAGTGTGTGCTTTTAAATGATCAGGTAGGGAGTGTTTTAGATGAAGGTATTCAGGGAGGCTCAGCACTAGGCTCTGTTCTCTGTGCTCTTTTCCTTCTCCATGACCTCACCCACGGCCCATGGCCTAGTTACCACTCCAGGAATGAGAGCTCCTCAGTGTGTCTCTTAGTCCACAGTGATTGTCTCATTGTGCCACAAACTCATTGTTTACCCCATACCTCTTCAAACCAGAATTTCCCTGACTTCTGCTTACCCCTTGGCCCCACCAGTTACCCCATTTGGCATCACTGACTTCTAGGGTACAATTTAATACCTTATACGCTACTACTTCTCACATCCATTCACTCTCTCAGCATGTCCTGCTTCTACCTCCTCTGTACATATCAAACGAGCTCCCTATGTGTTCCTGGTGAGGATCCTCCTCTGTCCCCACCATCACTGTCTCCCCTCTGACTCAGTAGCAGCTTCCTGACTATCTTCCATGACTCTGCATGGGCCCCTGTGCCAGGTCCTCCACACTGCAGTCACAGTAAACGTTTGAAAACACAGATTTTATGACTGGAGCTCTGCCCTCCTGGACCGTGATTCTTAAGCTGAAACGAATGATGCGTGTGTGGCATGGTCTGGCCCCGTCTATATTTATTGACTTCTTTGGTTGCTCTTGGCCCTGACCTTTTAGATTTTGAAAGCATTAGAGCCTTTCCACTCTCTCTTTCCTCCCCTTGAAAGGCTCTCCCTTCTCTACCTGCGGGGTTAAATACTGCTGTTCACTTAGACCTCACATCACATATTGCTTCTTGAGGGAAGCTTCACTGATCCCTCAATGTGGGTCAGACTTCCTTATTAGGTCTTATTTAATTGTATGCTTTTCTTCCCTTATACTCTTCTTAGATGAAAACTGCACTCCACCCTTACCATCATATTGTAAGTTCCATGAAGGTGTGAATAAATTAGAGAATCCAGCCACCCGATTTATTACTACCCTTGTCTGGATCGTGTGGAAACACATTTGATGGTGCTGATAACAAAGGTATGGAATTTTAGGCTTTCACTGCCTGTAAATCTTTCCTTCTATGTTTCAAAAGTAATATGAGGACATAGGCTAATAATCCAACTGATTTAATGAGATAAAGGGTGGGAAAGCTCCTGGCAGAAGATGGTTGATTGAAGATAAAGTGCTTTTAAAAGGTATCTTAATGAAATGGAAAGAACTGTGAATTCAGGTCTTTGGTCTGTCTCTTTTGTATTAAGAGCTGCAGCGGTAGGAAAACTTCCAGCCTCAGTTTCACCATCTGTGTTGGTTACTTTTCTCTCGCTGCTGAGACAAAATACCTGATGCTCAAAAAGAAGGAAGGAAAGGTTTATTTAGCTCACAGTCTGTGGAGGTTTCAGTCCGTACTCGGCTGGCTCCAAGGCAGAGTGACACATGGCAGAGGGCAACAGTTCATGGCTGCGGAAAAAACAAAAAATCTGGCAGAAGAAATTTTTTGTTCAGCAAAAAACAGCAAGAGTAAAAGAGAGGAGTGGCAGCAAGCAGCCTCTTTCTCTCCCTTACATATGCAAACTACCCACCCCGGGGCAGATGTAGCACTCACACCCGTAATTCCAGCATTGGATCACGGATCAATCATAAGCTTTAAAAGCCTGCCCCATGAGTGCACGAGGCTTTGGGAGGACATCAAGACACAAACCATAACACTCCTGGCCCCCCAAAGACTCATCTACATCCCTTTATGTAAAAGACATTTTAGTCCATCTCTAAGAGTTGCTAAAATCCTAACAGTTTCAGCATTGCTGAAAAGTCCAAGTCCCAAGTCTCCTCCGAGTTGTAAGGCAAACTCTTAGCTGTGAGCCCCTGTACAAATGAAAAGTTAAACACATCCAACATTCAATGGCACAAAATAAACAGTACCATTCCAAAAGGTACAAACAGGGGGACACAGAGCATTGGGACCAAAGCAAGTCCAAAATCCCATAGGAAAGACATTAAGTCCTGTATTCACATGTGGAATATCCCAAGCAATCTATGATAAATTGTGAGCTTCAAAGACCTTGCGTGACTCCACCCCTATGGAACTTCTGGTGGTTGTAGCTCCTAGGGCTTCTCTCTTGGGCCCGCTTTGCTCTTTCCTGCAGCTTTCCTCAGACAATCCTTGTCCCTGGCTTTTCTAAACTTCTGAGGTCCACACTGCACCTCTCGCTTCACTATCACAGCTTCACACAGCCCTCTCAGGAGCACACTGCCTGGCCTCCCAGGCCTTCTGAGATTGAGGTGGAAGCCCTTTTAACCTCAGAACTCTTGCATTCTGCATGTACCTAAAACCAGGGCCACGTGGATGATGCCAAGGTCTGCTGCCACCTGGAGCAGTAGCCAAGCTTTCCTCTCTTTTGGCCATAGGGATCGAGTGCCTGGATCGCTGGGCACTCTGACCTGATTCTGAGGAACAGATCCTCTATGCTGCCGCCATTCTGGAATATGGCACTCTGCAAATTTCTCCTCAAGGCAAGGTCTTTCACCTTTGCAGTTCTGAGGCTGCAAAGGGTGGAGACTTGCTGCTCCTAGTGATGCCCCCAGGCCATCTTTTCTATTCTCCCATTCTTCCTCAGCAATAGAGATCTCCTCAGCTCTATCTTTGCAGTCCACAGGTTTACTGGAGCTTCCTTTCTGGCCAAACTCACAACATTTTAAATCATCCTGCTGGGCTCTTTGCTCTTGATTCTCAATATAAATCTGGCTAAAAGCCCCCAACAACAGCCATACCACAGCCTCAACATTCGACTGCCTTGAAATTTCTTCTGCCAGATTAATCAGTCCACTGCCCTTAATCTCAGTCTCAGGCAAAGTCTCTGAACATGAAATTTCTGCCAAGCCATAACATACATCATCTGAGACCAGCACCCACTGCAGTTCTTCTTCCCAGCAGAAACCTCCTGAACCCGGTCTTTGCCAGCAGGATTTCTATCAGCCTTCTGGTCTTCTGAGCTATGACCAGAATCTCCCATAGAGAAGAGCTGAAGGGGTTCTAGCTCTACTCTTTCAGGTGACGTCTCCAAACCTTTCCAAACACTTCCCACAAACCATTTCCAAAGGCTATTGGACTGCATGGTCAGGTATAGTCACAGCAACGATCCCACTTCTAGTACCAAATTCTGTTTCGGTTATTCTTCTCTCATTGCTGAGACAAAATACCTGACACCCAAAATTAGGGAAGGAAAAGTTTATTTAGCTCACAGTCTGTGGAGGTTTCAGTCCGGCTAGCTCCAAGGCAGAGTGACACATGGCAGAGGGCAACAGTTCATGGCTGTGGAAAACAGCAAAAAACAGCAAGAGCAAAAGGGGGAGTGGCAGCAGGCAGCCTCTTTCTCTCCCTTACATGTGCAAACTATCCACCCCAAGGCGGATGTAACACTCATATGCATAATCCTAGCAATGGATCACGGATCAATCATAAACTCTACAAGCCTGCCCCATGACTGCACGAGGCGTCCAGACACAGACCATAACACCATCTATGAGACAAAAATATCCTATCTTCTAAGTTAGGTGTAGTAGCTAGAAGTTATGTATGCACAGTGCCTGCACCACCGAGTCAGCAAAAATTTACACCATAAAGAAATTCTGAACAAATAAATAAAGATGAGAAGATGAAAGTGAAGTAGGTAGCATATTGCCTTGTTTTCAAACTGAGTGGAGGAATACAGTCCCACTGAGGAGAGGAAAAGACACTGTACAGAGAGAACAGAATCAGCAGAAGGGGCTGCCAGAGGTGGCAAAAGAAGAATGTTATGGATTCCCCCAAAGCCTCATGCGTTCAGAGGTGGAACTTTTAGAAGTGACTGCATTAAGGAAAAGAAACTACTCAAAAGGAAAAAATGACTGGGACGAGGGGAAGGAGAAAATAAAGAAGAAAGGGAAAAAAATATATATATATATAAGATGGCAGGGCTAATTATACTATCAATTTCTATTGCTTTCTTGAAAGGAACAGTTGATATATGATTGTTTGATCATTCTTGTATGTTTGTATTTGTTTATCTGAGTAACCAATACGAGGATAACAATATGTAATACAATAACTGTGGTTAATTTCTGTTCACCCTATCTGAAATTCTATATTGTTTTCATTGTTTTTATGTTGTTTCATTTATGTCTCTGTGTTTGTTAATACATTTTTGGTTCTTTTGTCTCTAAAAATAAAATTTAAAAAAAAAAGCAGTGACCTGATTATGAGGGCTGTACACTCGGCAGCGTTGTTAGGTGTTCTCTCCTTGGATGAGGCAGCTCCCTGGGGGCGTCACCTTCCCAAGCTGCTCCTCTGTTCTCCCCATATGTGTCCTTCCCACCATGATATGAGCAGCTTTCCTCCACCAGCTCCTTCCACTACGCCATCCCTTCTTAGAGCCAGCTGACCATGGACTGAGACCTCTGAAACTTAAAGCCAAGGTAAACCCCTCCCTCCTGTAATACGTAAGTGTTGGGTACTTTGTCTCAGCAACGAGAAAGTGACTAAGACAAGGAGGAAATGGGCTAAAGACTCAGACCTCCAAGGAGTGAATCCAAGTAGAGGCAAAAGCACGTAACCCACAGTTAATGACAGCAATAAGAAGGGAAGTATAACTTTGGTGAAAAGAGCTTTCAGCAAAGTGGAGGGGCAGAAGATGGAACCATCCAAACTGGGCGGTGAGAGCAGAGACAGTGAGCTTGTCTTCTTTGTTTGAGAACTGTGTGTAGGACTGCAGTAGGGACACTGCCTGGAGTAGTCGGGGGAGGGACAGAGATGCCAGAGGGTCTGTCACTTGTCTTTTGTTTTTAGGTGGAAGAGACGGCAACTACTTCTAGTCTAACAGAGAGAGAGAGCTGGAGGAAAGGAGGCACCAGACAGAGCAGACCATTACCAGAGCTGAAGTTCAGAAGAGTGTCACGGTGCCAGCCCTGTCCTCACTGACCCACTGGGGTTCCCCATAGCCAGAGCCCCCCACATAAAGAAACGCATACACCTTCAGGGAGCCCTGGGCCCTGTCAGTCATCCTTATTCTGTACCTCCTGCTGCCTTTCTCCAACCTTTGCCTTGCCGCTTTCTTTAGCCTGTGAGTACCCTTTGGGTCTGCTCACTGGCTTAGCTCCGCTGGCACTGGCCGGTGCTCTGCTTGGCTACGCTGCCACTCTCACCCTCAGCTGTAGCTGAGCCCAACTTTTCTGGCCATGCTAAGCAGCCGCTGTGCCAAGCCCCCTCCTGACTGTCCCGTAGGAGAAGCACTTCCCAAAGGGATCCCTACAAGAGGACGCGGTCCGGGCCAGAGGGAAGGGTGGCTTCGGAGGCCATGGGACAGAAGACAAGGAAGAGAACCATGAAAGGTACCTGGGAGGGGAACTGTCCATTTCCTTTCATAAAAGTCAGTACTTTTTTGTTTTTTTACTACAATAATGTATTGCTTTAAAAATAAAACTTCTGCTTCAAAACCGAAAAATATACATAATTTACAATTGAAAGAAGAAAATACACGCTGAACGCCCGGTAGACTATCTGCTGGGTAACGGCGCCATCGGTGCCTGAGAGCTTTTGTTAGTGGGAGCAACGTGAGGACATTGAGCCAACCCTTACACACCCACTCCCCAAGGCGGGACTTGGGGGAGCGCCGGGCGAACGCTCCTGTGGGCACAGAATTCCGGAAACAAGGCCATTTGCTCAGAGGTGATGCAGTCGGGTAAGTGGCTAGAACGGGACGGCGGCAGTGGAGGGGCAGCTGCAGGGCAGGAAGGGTCACACAGGCGAAAAGTGTGTAAACCAGAGCGGAGCTAAACACACTCGCTCGAACATCGCCAAATTCAAGTGCCTGGACACGATTCTGAGCCGGCCATGTGTGTGACATCGTTTGTTTTTAGACCAGCAGACTCTTCCTTTCAGTACCTGTTAGTCAGCACTGTCACCATCACAGAAATCGTCTTTCGTAGAAGTACCTCCAATGCACACTAAATTTACTAGCAATAGCTAACCTGTGCCTACAGGACCAAGTGACAAGATACATGCTTAGACTAAAAGCTATAGCTGTGTGTTTATTAGGTTCTTAATGAGATTTTAACATGGGTTCATAGGAACCATTTAGCTCAATTCCCCTGGGCTTTGACAAGCTCTAAACCATTGCTTTCCAAGGGAATAGGCACTGCGTCTCTTGTTAAGCGTAAAAAATATAGTATTAGCAACAAATGGGTTCTAATTGCATCTAACATATTTAAACAATTAGACTTTAATTAAATTCTTATAAATTTTAAGTGCTTCAGAACCATTTCTCTTAATCTCAAGTGCACATTTCTTAAAAATCATTTCTTATTTTTAGGAACTATAATTGATGCATATTGGAAAAGAAAATTAAAAATAAAATAGACATCTCTCATATGAAACATCCTTTCTTCCATGTACCCATCACAGTTTTTTATCTCCTGCACGGGGACTTCCAGATGCAATGAGATTTCGGTGTTGAATTCCGTACATACTGAGAGTGCCTTCAGATATTAGCAATAACAAGAATAACGAAGAGCTGTGAGAGAAGCATCTTACTGATGTTTCACAGATAACTTTGATCCATTTGTTTTGTGTGCCTCTCGCTCATATTCTTGGTTCACCTCGTTTGTTTTTGTCACCTATCTGACACTGCTTGTATTTTATGAGCTGTGAGATGGGAGACAGGAAAAGGTTCACGGAACTTTAATTAGATCTGTGACGTGTTGCACATAGTAGGCAAATAAATATTTATTGAATTGATTTAAACTGAGTCAGGATCAAGGACATGTGACTGAGGGTTGAGACGCATGTTGCTATAGTAACAGGTTCAGTCCACACTACGGGAGGGGGGAGGAGGCAAAATACAGCCCAAAATGTGAAAACAAGCAACATGAACAGAGAAAAATTACAAGTATGGACACTGCTACATGTAGTCATTACCCATCATAGATACAGATAATACAAAGAGCAGTAATGTTGCACGGTCAAATTTAGTGAGAAAGTAAGTTAAACTTAATTATATCTAGTGACTTCACTTCAAAATAATGCCTGAATTTTCACAATGCCTCATTTGCACGGTGATCGCAGTGAATGGAGTGAATCTCAGGAGCCTGAAGGATAGTATGATTATTGCAAAAACTATTTCTCCCTCCAGTGAAGGTCCTCACCCATCCACAATCAGATGCTATTTTCAACTTTGTGCTGATTTCCTACAGCTTTCTTTTGCACTTAAGCAGCACTCATTGGCTATATTTTAGAATGCTAGGGTAAAAGGCAACATAAAAGTTAAAAACATACAAATCAAAACAAGCAAACAGAAAACCCACAAGGATGAGAAACAACAGCAAATAAGTGTGTGTCACTCGTCTTAGCTGGCCGGCGTCTGAACCCTTCCCATGTTGGGACATGGCTTCAGACACTGCTCACCACTGAAGCTGAATGTGCCAGGGAACTTCGTCTCCTGCATTTTTTGAAGCTAGTGCCAAAACACCCCACCCTGGAGCCACAGCGACTTGGAGACTGCTCTCTCTGGCAGCAGTAGCACGAATGCCAGTGGCATGGGCAGAGCCCATAGGGCTTCCCAGATCAGAGCTCTGGGGCAGTGGGAGCATGCTAGAGATTCTGTCATTCTCTACCAGGTCTCCACCCAAAACCACTGCCATTCTGTGGAGGGCCTTTATGTGAAAAAGTAAAAGGTGCCCCTCCTGGCAGGCACACGGCTGTCATCTAGTGGCACTGCTCTGTCCCCCTCACAAGGGACCCCTCAGTTATCCCTCTCCTCATATACACCCTTTCTGCTCAAATCCGCTAAAGTTTGCCTTGCTGCGTACAACTAGAAAACTTACCGATATGTATAATAAAACCATGCTTGGCCAATCACTCCATCGCCATTCCACGGTGTCATGCCCTTTACAATACAGCAGAATTCTTTTGTATGCATACTGCCATTTTCCCTAGAACTACCACGGAAACCAGTGTAACCCCCAGAACACAACACACCTCAGAAAGGGTTGATATCAAGTCAGCCTTAATCTACTAACCCGGAGTAAAGAATTAGCTTTCTTCTAATTAAAACATTCACATTCAAAATTAAATAACTTCCACTACTTAAGTGAAATAGTTTCAAATTTAAATTTCTCTTTCTTGGCTTGAGGAAGGAGGACAATTTATCCACTGGTACATTTAAAGGACCATGACATGAGTTCACTCATGGGAAGGATACACTGGGCTGCCTGGAGACCCTACCTTCTCACCCATGAAAAACTACAAGCCTTATGCTTGTTGTGTATTTTCTTAGAGCTGCCACGACCAGGGAAGGCTCCCACCAGTCAGGGGCTTATTTCAAGGACACAGCCAAATTAACCCAAATCTAGGTGTTCGCCTGCCCTGCTCAGCCTTCTGACAGGCTTGCTGTGGAGCAGCCATCTCAGCACACACGAGGTCCTGCGTTCATCTCCACGCAGCTCTCTCCTTCCCACCTGTTCACCTAATCCTTAACCATCTGCCTCCTTCAATACTCGAGCCCTACGACCTCTAGAACTTCTTCCCCATAATCATCATTCTTCTCTATGCTTTCAGCTTCTTTTCTAGACTTTTCTCCACTGAACTAATCCTCAGGTGATACTATTTCCCCTGAAGCCTTTTCAAGTGGGGACTCTTCCCCGTTGTGTTCTTCCTCACGGTTTCAGAGCGGTGTGGAGAGTGTCTTCCTCCCCTGTCTAAATGCCCGTCTTTGAGGATGAACTGTCTAGCTGCCCCAGCTTCCTGCTGACTGCCTTCGCCCCGGAACCCCCTGAGCACAGTGCCGCCCCGACTGAGGCGCAGCACCTGGTTCCTAGTCTCTCTATCCCAACCCGCAGGGAGAATGTGCCCTTCTCCTGGCCGAAAGCCAGGTGCCGTGGGTTTCTTACTCACCCTGTCAGCCTCTTGCTTCCTTGGCCCCAGTGGCCTCCGTTGTTTCATCTCAGACACTCGTTTGCTTTTGCCCCGTGCCTTGTAGTCTACACAAGGAACCGCTCCCTGAAACCACTAGTTCTGACTTTCTTCTTTATCACGGTCCACTATCGTTTCGGTTGCTTGCTTAAGAACTCTCACTGAAATCATGTTTTAACCACATTAAGACTCCCAATTTATAGTCCCTATCAACTTTGGAGTCCCTTCCCCCTTTATTAATTTCCTACTTAGTGCTGATCCCATAATCCACTGCGATTTCTCTTCCTTAATGACCACTGTCCTCTTTGCTTAAGAAAACAACTTCTGAGAATTACTTCCTCCATCATTTCCTCATCAACCCTCAGTACTATCACTCTCTTTTCTATAGTCCATGTATTTACTGATTTGTGTCAACTGTCTCTAGTTTGTCTTGGTCTATTTTTCTATGTCTGCACAGTACATTATAGTTGAAGTACTTTAGCTTGATAATGCCTTAAAATCATATTTATTGGGGATGCCATCCTTATCTCATTTTGGTTTTCTTAGAAATGTCTTGGTTATTTTTAGTTTTTGAATATGTAAAAGTTATAATCAGCTTGTCAATTTTCAAAAACAATCTTAAGGATGTAACAAGCACTTCACTGAATCAAATTATAGAGAGTTGACCTTTTCAAAATACTTCATTTCCTAATGAATGAACATAGTCTACCTTTCCATGTAAGAAGAACTTCTTCAATACTGGTCACAAAAGTTTTATATGTTTCTTTAAAAATGTCTTACCCTTCTTCTGTTATACTCATTATTAGGTCATTTTTGTACTAGTTTCAATAATATCTCCTTAATTTCATTTTTCAGCTGCTGCTGGTATATGAGATCATGTCAACATTTATTTGATTTAACTTCCAGAAAATTTGCTAAATTCTCTAGCTTATCCTACTAAGTTATCCAAAGGTTCTTTCAGAGTTTTTTGCACAAAATTATACCATTTGCAAGGTTCACTTTTGTTTGTTCCTTTCTAAACCTTCTAGCTTTACTTTGTTCTCTTTACCTTCTTTGTATATAGGTTTGCTATAGTTGGAAGAAACTGCTGTGTCATCACTAAATGTACCATGCAAATTGTACCTTTATATATGCCGATTTGCTGTAATTCATTGATAATAAGTGCAGAGGTAAATATTTAGTGACAAATGTTCAATCGAACTATTAAACACCATGTTAATGAAGATTTCTAAGGTATCACAATGCTGTGTCGTCTTTATGGCAGTAAACTTTACAGAGTCAAATTGTGCTTCATTAAAAATACATTTTGAAGATTACCTATTGGTAATTTTGGGGATAATATCTGGTTATCTTGAACTAGTAGGTAACATCATTTTGGACTAGTAAGTAACAATACATTTTTTAGCAAGAATTTGCATTTAAATTTTGATATAAAAGACAAAAGAAATAAAGAAAAAGAAAATCGGATTGCATTTGTCAACCTCAGTACTAAATCAAGCTTTGAAAACTTAGTTTCCTGAAAACATCTTCCATCATAGTCTAAATTTCAGATATATATCTTAGTGTTTTCTCTGCACAAATGGTGGTAGAAGAGCTGTATTTACACATTGCTTATGCCCTGCTTAACACATATTTAAGTAACATTATAGTTAAAATAGTTAAAGTTAATTTTGGAGGTCACTGAGAATTTTTTCCTTCAAAATGATTTGTCATTTTATTACTTCACTAATATTTGAGAAATCCCATTCTGTTGAGCTGGGAAACTGTCCTTGTCTCTACTTTGGATCATTTTAAATATGGAGAAAATGTCTTTCATCATCTCTTTACACTGGGTAGGTACACCTCACTGTATCAGTTTCACCACCAGAGGGTTCCTTGGGTTGTTTTGAAAACGTCAATCTGTTTCTAGCATTTTGGAACTTAAAAGTGTTCAGTAATTTTCCTTTATTTTTAAGATACACTTTAAAATTGCAATTCCCAATTATCCAATTCCTCTGTATAATTTGATTGCTACCTACCTCTCTAAATTCTTCTTCACAAACCGTTCCTCCCACAGGTGACTCCATAAATAGGAAGCTCTATGCTTCCAATTGCTCAGACCAGAACTCTGGGTGTCACCGTCAGCTCCCCCCATTATATACCACATCAACAGAGCCTACAGGCTCTATCTTCAAAATATATACAGATCTTACCGTTTTGCTTTACTTCCATGCTGTTGCCTGGTTCATGACATCAGCTCTTGCTAGAATTTTTCAATAATTTCTTAATTAATGCCCTTATTCCTGCATTAGTTTTCTGCTACTGCTATAACAAATTATCACAAACTCAGCAGCTGAAAACAAAACTAATTGCCAGCTCATAGTTTTAGAGCAGTGCAGTAGGCTTGACTGGCTTTCTGCTTGGGGTCTCACAGTGTTGAAAGCACTGACAGATCTACATTCTTTCCTGAAATATCCTGGGATGAGTCTACTTCCAAGTTCATTCAAGTTGTGGCTAGAATGTAAGATTGAGGTCCCCACTCCTTGTTGGCCATTCTTTGGGGGTTGTTCCCAACTTTTAGACACTACATAGCTGTAATCCTTGGCTCATGGCCTACCTTGTTCCATATTCAAAGACAGGATCTGCAGGTCTCAGCCTGCTGTTGCCTCAAATCTCTCTGACTTTCGCCTTTGCCTCATTTCTCCTCTGCCTTGCTTTTGTGCTCTTGTGCTGCCTTGTTTCCTTCCCCTCTCCCCACCAGTCAGTGATTAGCATGGTCCCACTTAGGTAATCTAGGACGATCTGCTTATTTAAGGTCTACTGCTTGGTAACTTTAATTCCACCTGCAGAATCCCTTCACAGCAGTACCTAGGTTAGTGTCGGACTGAATAATGGGAGGATGGGAATATTGGAGAAGATCCTTGTGCTCCTGCCTACCATAGCTTCCCTGCAATCTATTTCTATCACAGCAATTGGAATGGTCTTTTAAAAATATTAATGTCAATTCATGTGGCCCTTCTGGCCAAAACTCTTCTGGGGCTTTCCATTCCATTCCAGAGGAGAGAAGAAGCACCCAGGAAGACCTGTAAAGCTTTTTAGAATGGCAACAGCCCCCCACCCCCCCGCCACACTAGAGCTTGTCTAATTTGATCTTTCCTCTCTCTTTCTCAACTCCAGCCCACTGGCCTTTGGTTTCGCCACACTTCTCCATCGTGCTGTACCCTGGGGCTTTGTGTGCTCGGAAATCCCCACAGCTCACCTCCTTCTCTCTTTCCTTCATCCTCTTTCCCCTGCCCTTCTCCTTCTCTTCTCCCTCCTCCTCCACTTCCTCCTCCTCCTCTTCCTCCTCTTCTTTTGTACTGGGCATTGAACCCAAGGCTCCGTGCATGCTGGGCAAGTTCTCTACCACAGAGCTACATTTCCAGCCCTTTGCTTTTTAATCTGAAGCATATTCTAAGCCGCCCAGTCAGGCCATAAATTCATGATCCTCTTTTGGACTAAGTGGGGTTACAGGACTGCACCGCCATCATACCCAGTGGGGGTTCTTTATATTTATCTTTGTGCCTTCAACATGTACGATGGTGTCTGGTGCATAGGAGGTGCTCCATCAGTGTTTATGTAGTGAACGAGCTCCTTAGTATCCTTCAGGTTTCAATTTAAATGTGATTTCCTCAAGTGGCATTCCCTGATACCCAAAATTTTTATTTGCTCCATGAGTCATTGGTCTGTCTTGACAACACTTACCACAACTGTCATCAGAGGTTTTAGTGCGGAGGGAGAATTCCTAGAAATCGTCGTACTGAATAGTGCTTGGCCCCGGTAGTTGAGACCCCATCAGGATGGTGTGATAGTCTGCGTCCCGAGAGAAACAGATGCCGGGACTGAACTAAACATGCAAAGTTTTCAGTAGAGGTCCCTCTGGGTGAAAAGAAGCACCGAAGTTCCTGGCGGAGGCAGCAGACCTGCAGGAACGTGAAGGGAGCCTTGCTCCAAGTTGAGGAGGGAGGGCAACAAGGCTGGGTGGAAGCTTGAGTGCCATTAGTCTAAGGAAAGCTAATTCCTAAATTCCAAAAGCCTCAACAAATTCCTCTATAACAGTCTGACAACCGACTGAAGCCGGGCCATGTTCCACTCCGTCTCTCCCCACCAGCAGACGTGGTCACTAGTCAGCACCCAGGGGCCTCAGTCTAACACCCCGATCCTGTCAGAGAAGGCCCTCCACACCCATTTGCCTCGGATAACCACTCCATGGATGCTTCTAACAACGACACCGAGGCTCTGAACGTTCCACTTACCGTTTCTTCATTTCTCTGTCACATCAGTATCGTCATCACAGCTTTTGTGAGGTATTTTGGGTCAAATTATTTCCCACAACACCCAAACAAAGAGAGGCTATTGTGGAGTAGAGCACGGTGCTCCTCTGCTGAGAAGCACATGCGGGCTGCAGGCCCTGGCTCTGGGGTCCGCAGATATCCGTTAGCTGAGCCGGCTCTCACCTACTGGGGGAAAGCGCCCTTCCTACAGTGCATGTCAGGTATAGACAGTTTTCACAAGTCAGTGCTGCACACACAGGCTGGTTTACAGAGATCTGCGTGCGCTTGTGTGATTGTTTAGTTTTAGGTTCTTCTCTTTCTAGACTGTGAGCTTCCAGAGAGCAGAGGCCCTGCTACGCAGTTTACCATTTAATCCTAAGGGACAACTACGATGCCTGGCACAGAGGAAGTCCTCAGTAAGTATAGGTTGAATCAATCAATCAATAAAGAACAGTTTTATTCTGGTCAATAAAATCAAGTCATAAAATGTTTTGAGATCCAGGATTAGTTAAATGTTATCCTCAGGAGCAAGATCAAACCAGTAAGCCCCTCTTTCATTCCTGGGTGGGCTTTCAAGAGACAGCGAGTCTCTGGGGAGCGAATTTCTGCTTTTCTTGCAATAGCCAGGGGGCAGATACCCCGGTGATGGGCAGGCCCCACTTGGATGGGTACACGTGGGGGAAGACCTGCCTGCCCTGGCGAGCAGATTGGAGCCTGAGCTGCCAGTGAACTTGGCTCAGAGCTTCATCGGTTGCCTTGAGACTGACTTATTCCTTATCTTTCTCCCTCTGGACAAGAGCACAGGAAGATGATCCAAAAGCAGCGGTGCCCACATTCAAGACGCCTTCATCCTACATCTGTCCCAGTCACGCCCGAGTCAAAGGAGACTGCGCTCTCATGATGCGGTTCTATAGAACCCGAGGAGGAAGTTGTGTCGGGGCGGGGACTCAGCGCGGTCTTCCCCTGATTTCTCCTTGTTATCCACCATTCCACCTGACTCGGCTCCACCTCCCTCTGAGGATAACAGTGGTTATCTCTCAACTAACGGCAAAGAGATTCCGATTAAACTGCAAATAAAGTGACATAATTGGTGCTGCTTGCGAAGAGTTTTCTCTACTTACAGTAGAAGCTGTAGTAACTATTGTACTGATTTTTAGAATCTACTACATAAACCAGAAACTATACAGTAAACTAGCAATGAACAGAAATCAGAAAGAGGCTCTTTAAATTATTCTTAAAAAGTGAGATTTACTTGTTCAATTCATAAACTCAGCAGACACTTAAAATGATAATAATCTGATTTTTGTTACAAAGCTGCGTTGGATGTGGCTCTAGGTGTCGTCCCGTCGTACCCCCGTCGTCGTAACCCCCTGCTTGCAGGATCTTTGCTGGCACCGTGAGCAGCTCCATGTCAGGGTCAAAGCAAGCAGACAAAGACACCTTGTGGAGAGGGCTAAACTTCACTGTATGATTTCAGATGTGGTTTTCTGATCCTTCTGGGCTCAGTTCCCTCATCTCTAAGACAGGGTAAACATTTCTCATTAAGGGTTTAAGAAACAATTGACAAGCTAATTATAAAACACTTTGCCAAAAGAACATGCCACACAAGCGCTCAACAATAAAGGCCGCTCTGTAATTGCAGAATGTTTTGAAAGCCGATCGGAGACAGTACGAGTGATGTTAATCTGGGACAGGACACTCTGGCTGGATTTTCCTGTCTTTCTTGATGGATGCTGCTGGGGGAGAGCTGTGGGTCTCGGGGTTAGTCATGCAGACCCGGGCTTTGCATGTGTGGTGCATGCCCATGGGCAAAGGAAGGGCAGACATGAAGAAACAAGGAGTGGAAAGGAGGGGGAGGCAGAAAAATGGGCACTTGCAGCTCTGCTTTGAGAACAGGGACGCTGGCGGTATACGGTGTGCAGAAGAGGGACGGTAGAAAAACTGGGGCAGCAAAGACTGAGAAGGCTTTCCAGAGGGGCAGTGGAGAGGATGACTCAAGAGGAGAGGAGAAGAGCAGAATTCTCCGAGACACTAAAAGTAGGGCCGGGGATATAGCTCAGCAGCACAAGCATCTGTCTGGCAAGCACAAGGTCCTGAGTTCGATTTCCAGTACTAAACAATAATAACAGCAACAAAATTAGTTTTGATCATGCAGAAGTCAGAGAGGAGCAGGGCAGCACCTGCTATAGCACCGCAAAATTACTGCAAGGTTTTATAGAAGAAGACAACATAACTTGAAGTGTATTTTAAAAGGTCACTCTGGGAAGGTGTTGTGAAAGATCACTGTGATGCATCTTTATGACAATGTTATCTTTAAGAAATTACAGCAGGCAGTTGTTCTGTACAAGAAAATCTTGACAAAGTAAGCCTCTGTGGAATGAGAAACCTTTACTCTGTAGAAGAGATGAAAAGACAACCTACAGAGGAGGAGATGTTTCCAAAGCACATATCTAACACAGCATTAGTATCAACAGTATCTAAAGAAACTCCAAAGCTCAACAGTAAAAATAACAAAATAAAGCAAATAAAAGTGGAGAAGAGGGCTGTAGCTCAGTGGTTGAGAGTTTTCCCAGCATGTGTAAGGCCGGGGCTCACTGCAAAAAATGAAAATAAAAATACAAATTTGAGGGGGAGGGGAGCACGAGAAGACAGGGACAGTCATTTCCCTGAGGAGGATCTACAGGTGGCAGATAAGCCAAATAAACCGGTTGGATGAATCTCCAGGGTACTATGCTGAGTAAAAAAGATAATCCCCAAAGATTATACACTATATGATTTCATTTATATATTATTCAAACTTTTTTTAGTAACTGGGGATTGAACCCAGGGCCTTGGCACTGAGCTACATCCCCAGCCTTTTGAAAATTTTTTATTTTGAGATAGGATTTTGCCAAATTGCTAAGTTGTCCAGACTGGGCTTAAATGAAACTTTTGATCCCCTTGCCTCAGCCTCCCAGAGCGGTAGGATTACCAGTGTGTGCTACCACACCTGGCTTCCCTTAATGACACCTTTGAAACGACAAAGCTTTAAAAATGACAAACAGTTCAGTGGTTGTCAGTGGTTAGGGATGAGAAGTAAGGTGGGGCCCTGCAGGAGGGAGGTGAACAGGGTCATAAAAGTAAAGGACCTTGTAGTGTGGGAACCGGACTCTTGACTCCAGTGCTGGGCACATGAACCTACCCAGGGGACAAAACTGTACAGAACTAGAACTTCTCTCTCTCTCTTTCACTCTCTCTCTCTCACTCTCTCTCTCTCACACACACACACAAACACACACAAACACACACACACACATGCGCACTAAATCTGAATATAATGTGCACATAGTATCAATATTAATAACCTGGTTATACTATAGTTTTCCAAAATGTTACCACTGTGGGACAGGACAAAAGGCATAAGGAAAAAGGAACCCTCCTATGTCATTCTGTTAACTGTAGATGAATCTACAATTCTCACAAGAAGTGCAGTGGAGCGAAGGTCACTCTGACAACCATACAAAGAATGGATTCAAAGCAGCGGCCCTCACACCTTGCACTCTGTCTCCACAACTACTCCTGAGGTGGTTTGGGGCAGCGGTGAGAAGTTCCTTCCTAAGAAGCTTCCAGGCGATGCTGAGCCTGTGGTTGGGGAACCACTCCAAATGAAAGGACCACCGTAGCTCTTCCCCCATTTCTACTTCTTTCAAGGGAAAGCAAGGGGCCTAATTGTTTCTCTTTGTTCATTTTGCAAGGCCCTTAATCTTCACAAGGACTTTCTTAGGGGCCAGGCCTTTGAGGACTGTCCGAGCGTTTGTCATCTGGGTATCTCTGAGGCATCCGGTTAGAGCAGTAGTGCTCCGAGTGTCCTCTAACCAGCATGAGCTGGGGACCCCCTGGAAATGCAGACTTTGGGCTCCGCCTCAGCCTTAGTGAGTGGGAAACCCTCAGGGTGGGGCCCAGCAGCCTGAGTTTTACCAAGCAGCCAGCTGACCCTCGTGTCCACCAAAGTCTGAGGACCATGGACGAGAGGAAGGCAAGAGCTGATGCACGAGTCCAGCTGGAAAGTTTTAATTTAATGTTAATATTTAGGAGGGGCTTCCCAGGTGTACCGCATTCAAAACAGGATGTGGCAAAGGAAACCCTGAGATGTGGTTTCCGTAGATAGTGGCTGTTGACTTGGACTTCCTCACCTGCAGAGGCAGAGGGCAGGGTCAGCTTAGCTCCTGCAGGCAATGCCATTGCAATGAAGTGATCAAGGGGTCAGAGGTGGATCCCTACGGTTCATACCAAGTGACAGTTAGTAGTGTTAGGTAATGTCGACTACGTTTGATCATCACATCACCGTTTTGTTCCTGAAAAGGGATTCAAGTAGACAGGCTTGTGGAGTACCAGGCTCTCGGGAGCGCTGTACACACTATGAGCACAGTGTCAATAACTGTGAACAGTTATTCTCTAAGCTGGTCAACTCAGCTACAGGAACTTGATTTTTCACGGCTGATTGAAGGTCTGTTCTGGTTTTCCTACCCTGCTGCCATGAGGATTTTGCAAGCGTATAGCAGTATTTGGTTTCTTGGCTGCCTTTTACCCCTAGCTGTGATTTGAGATGCGGCTGTCAGTATGTGGAGAAGCGGTAAGTCGCCGGGGACGACAGCCCAGGGAGTGTGTACAAGTGTGTGTGTTAAATACCAGCATGCGCATGAGTCATCACGACTATTTGTGGATCAGGGTGAAGACTGCCAGGTAATCTTCAGTGCCTGACTTGGCTCCATAGCCAAATGTATGCGAGGCTGGAATGAGTCTATCCAGGTATTGCTCTGACAGCAAGTTAAGCCGTAAAATGTACAAAACTATAACATGTTTTCAACACAGCATTAAGAATAAATTGGCAGCCTTTGAAAACTCCCTTTTGTTGATACTTTGTGAAATTTCTCACCAAATTCTGATTATATAGAATGGTGCAGAGAAGAGCTGGATTACTGGAGGCAAATAGATTTTGGTTTGAATATCGGTTGTACCACCATTTTAATATCTGTTCAGGCAAGTTGCTCAGACCCTCTCTCTAACCCTCAGTTTTTCCAGATATAGCCAGGACTAAAATGCCTGCCTCCTGTGGCTGATCCGGGGAAAACATGATGAGACTGTCTGGCGCTGGCGGGTGTCGGACACAGACATTCAGCTCTTTTCTTTTTGACGAAAATGTTTTGGGCTTGGTATAAGTTTTTTCCTCCATAAATTTAACAGTGTGTGGGAAAACATGTGTGATTATGACACACACATCCCCCCCACACACACTGCTTTTCCTTGCTTCCTTTTCTCGACTGCTTCAGTCAGCACAAAGTTCGTCCCTCATTGGTTCAGTCAGCTCTGGTACATTTGCCAAAAACCTGAAGGTCCTTTTATGGTCCGAAAAGTGATACTCATAACTGGAAATCATCCAGATCATCATGATACTCTTGCTCATATCTGTCATGGCTACAGAAGACAAACTATAAAGTATTAAAAGTAGCAGAATTATTTTCCTATGCTCTCAAAAAAACTAACTCAAAAACAAGTGAATGTTTAGATCAGTATGACCAAAACACGCTCAGATGTACGATCGTAGCAAAGAGCCAAAATGGGATGTAATTTGCTAATGTCCAATCCCATGAATAATAGTAAACTCTTTTTCTATGAAATGTGTTAGACCTTCAGCAAAAATGAAAATAATGTTGTTTTAAAAGAACTCCTTACACATTTTTCAGAGGTTAAAAACCAGCACGTGCAGAATCTAGTTGAAAATAAGTTTTGTTAGACAGACTAATATTTTATAAAAAGTACATGCCAATGCCTTGGGCTGAGCCTGAAGTCTGCAGCTCACCACAGTTCCTGGCTCACTTATTGCTTTACCACCCCTGGCCCACGTTTCATGAAGGGCAGGGCTTGCCAAGGCCCCAAGACATTTAAGTTTGTAGACTGAAGTTCCAAACACCTACATCAAAGTCCTGGGTTCCTGCTCAGGCAACTGGGCTCTAATAGCAGAGCCCTCAGCAGTCCGTCCCTCCCAGGCTTTGGCAAAGCTTTGCCTCTTCAGCATGAAGCAAAAATACCGGTTTCCTAGAGTTAGTAATCTC